CGGGGGACGTATACCTCTCTTTTAAAAGTGGGTACAGTGTCTTTTACTAAGCAGAAAACTTAATTTGATGTAGTCATCATTTCTTCCCTTTATTATTTGTAGGGATTTTATATCTTGGTTTAAAATTTTTTCTTACTCTCAAGGTTATAAAGATATCCTTTTATATAATTATCTAATAGTTTTAGTATACTCAATTTATTTTTTTCACTTTATATTACATCTTGCAAATCTTTATTTTTTTGCCATCTAATCATTTGTTATTTTTTAATTACAGTTGACATACATTATTATATTAGTTTCAGGGGTACACCCCAGTAATTTGACATTATATAACTTACTATGTGATCATCCCAATAAACCTCACACCCATATGACACCATACATAGTTATTAGAATATTATTGACTATATTCCCCATACTGTATTTTACATCCCATAACTATTCTATAACAACTAATTTGTATTTCTTAATCCCTTCACCTTTTTCACATAACCCCCTGACCCCTCCCATCTGGCAACCATCAAAATGTTCTCTGTATGTATCTACAAGTCTGTTTCTGTTGTGCTTTTTAGTTTATTTTGTTTTTTAGATTCAATTGTTGATAGATATGTATTTATTATTCATATTTTTTTTATCTTTTTGTTTCTTCTTTTTAAAGAAGACCCCTTATTTCATAAACTACTGGTTTGGTGGTGATGAACTTCTTTAGCTGTTTTTTGTCTGGGAAGCTCTTTATCTGTCCTTCCATTGTTAACTAGAGATCTGGTGCACAAATTCATGCACCAGTGGGGTCCCTCGGCCTGGCCTGCAGGATCGAGCCAAAAAGGGCTCTGTGACATCCCCTGAGGGGTCCTAGATTGCGAGAGGGTGCAGGCCAGGCCAAGGGACCACACCAGTGCAGGATCAGGGCCAGGGAGGGATGCAGGAGGTTGGCCAGCCCGGGAGGGACCACCGGAAGGCTCCAGGGAGTGTCCGACCCATTTTGCTTAGTCCCAATGGGATAGAACCCAGCAGCAAGCCAACCTATTGGCCGGAGCGTCTGCCCCCTGGTGGTCAGTGCATGTCATAGCAAGCTGTTGAGTGGCCTCAGCATATCCTTAGCATATTACACTTTGATTGATTGAACAGCCAACCAGACAACCGGACACTTAGCAATTAGGCTTTTATTATATATAGGATGATAGCTTTGGTGGGTAGACTAATCTTGGTTATAGGTCCTTGCTTTCCACCCTTTTGAATATTTCTTGCCAATCCCTTCTGGCTTACAAAGTTTCTGTTGAGAAATCAACCAACAATTATGGGTGCTCTCTTGTAGGTAACTAACTACTTTTCTCTTGCTGCTTTTAAGAATTTCTCTTTGGCCCTAACTGATTTGGCTCAATGGATAGAGCATCGGCCTGTGAACTGAAGGGCCCCGGTTTCGATCCCAGTCAAGGGCACATGCCAGGGTTGCGGGCTTGATCCCCAGTGGAGGGCTTGCAGAAGGCAGCCAATCAATGATTCTCTCTCATCATTGATGTTTCTATCTCTCTCTTCCTCTCCCTTCCTCTCTAAAATCAATAAAAAATATATATTTTAAAAAGAATCTCTCTTTGTCTTTACCCTTTTGAATTTGAATTACAATGTTTCTTAGTGTGGGTCTCTTTGGATTCATCTTTTTTGGGACTTTCTGCCCTTCCTGGACTTCTATGTTTATTTCCTTCACCAGGTAAGGGAAGCTTTCTCTCTAGTCCCTTCCTAGTGCCACTTTCTCAGCAAAATTCTGGAAAGAATGGACATTATTGGGCAAACAATTTGTTTTTGCTTCAGAAGCTCTTCTAGATTCCAGTCTGTCTTATCAGCCCATACTATCATGTACATTTCATCAACTTTGTCCTTCTTCTCAAAGTCTCTGTTTATGGCAGGCTCTCTCTTCTATTGGTCTGTACCCAGACCAGCCTCCTGACCCAAGTCTTTTGGGTTTTTTTAAAATCTTTATTGCTGAAAGTATTACAGATGCCCCTTGCAATCGTTTTTCCATTGACCCTCTCCATTGCACACCTGTCCCGCCCAGGCCTTCAGCACACAATTGTTTGTGTCCACGGGCTATACATTGTTGACTTGATGATCACCATTCTGACAAGTTTGAGGAAATACCTCATTGTCATTTTAATTTGCATCTCTTAGATGATTAGTGATTTTGAGCATTTTTTTATATGTCTCTTTGCCTTCTGTGAATCCACTTTGGAGTAGTGTCTATTTAGTTCCTTTCCCCATTTTTAAATTGGATTCTTTATCTTCCTTTCATTGAGCTGTATGACTTTCTTATATATGTGGGAAATTAACCACTTATCAGATGTATCATTGGCAAATATGTTCTCCCATGCAGTGGGCTCTCCTTTCATTTTGTTGATGGTTTCTTTTGCTGTGCAGAAGCTTTTTGTTTTTATGTAGTCACTGTAATGTTTAATCTGAGATGTAAGATTTAATCTGACTGAAACCAATAAGTTTACCAAGACAAGCAGGGTAAGAGTGAAAGATTGCGTTTATTGAAAGCTCTCGGGTGAGGTCCCGCAGTCCGGGAGCACAGGCCGGGGGGGGGGGGGGGGGGGGGGGGCGGGTGGAATCACACCCGCCTATACCTGGCAGAGCTTCTTTATGCTGCTGTTGGACCAATCAGGTTTATCTGAGGTAGCTTGTGGCGGGTGATTTATGAGCGGGAAGTTTGCGCAGTTGCACCCTGGCCATCCTGAGAAGTCTCAGATGGTCATTTATTGTCCATCAGGAAGTTAGCACAGCAGGATGTGAGCACAACTGTGGCTCGGTCATTCTGGGTTGTTTGTCCAACTCAGTGGGTGGGATCGGGAAAGTCCCTATTTTCCCAGCCCCAGACTTTACAGTCACATTTATTTTCTCCGTAGTTTCCTTTGACCTAGGAGATGTATCCATAAACATACTGCTATGAAAGATGTCTGAGATTTTGCTGCCTATGGTTTCTTCTAAGATTCGTATGGTTTCACAACTTACATTTAAGTCTTTTACCTATTTTGAGTTTATTATTGTATGGTGCAAGTTGGTGATCTAGTTTTATTTTTTCACATGTACCTGTCCAATTTTCCCAACACCATTTATTGAACAGGCTGTCTTGACTCCATTGTATGCTCTTGCCTCCTTTGTCAAATATCAATTGAGTGTAATGGCTTGGGTCAATTTCTTGGGTATCTGTTCTGTTCCATTGATCTATACTATAACGTGATATCTGGTATTGTGATTGCTCCAACATTGTTGTTCTTTCTCAAGATTGCTGTAGCTATTCAGGGCCTTTTTTGATTCCATATAAATTTTTGGAGTACTGGTTCTAGATCTGTGAAATATGCCGATGGTATTTTAATAGGGATTGTGTTGAATATATACATTGCTTTTGGAAGTATGAACATTTTAATGATGTTGATTCTACCAATCCATGAACACAGTATGTTCTTCCACTTGTTTATATCTTCCTCTATCTCCTTTTTCAAAGTCCTAGAGTTTATTGATTTTTTGTTTTTTTGGCTTTTTTAGTCTCTATATCATTTATTTCCACTCTGATCTTGTTACAGGGTGTGGGACTGAGCCATGGAAGGGTTACAGAATGTTACAGAATGTGCTAAGGGGAGGAAATGAGACATGAGAAATTGAATGTGCTGGGAGGGGGGACTGACGTATGGAGAGGGATCGTGTCAGGATATGGAGAAGGATTGTGTCAGGGTTAGAACCCATGGAAGAAAAATTGCTAGATTGTCTTAGAAAAACAATGTGTTATGATACGCTCCAGCTAGGTGTGACTCTGTTTACCCCCCAACCCCCCTTTGTACTTATGAACTTTTAGTGAACTTCTAGGGAACAGCGAATGAAATGCTTTGTATTTTTTTCTAACACGGTTTTGCTATAAAGGATCATACTGCACCCTTGGTCTCTGCCACATGCTCCGAAGCTCCCAGAGGGGGAGATAGGTGCTGTGGTCAGCTGGCCAGCTTAATAAAGGCTCGTAAATTTAAATTCTGAGTCGGTGGTCTATTTCGCTGAGCCAACCCATAACAATCTTTATTATTTTCTTCCTTCTACTTACACTGGGCTTTTATTTTTGTCCTCTTTCTAATTCTTTGAGTTGTAGAGTTAGTAGTTTATTAGAAGTTTTTCTTGTTTTTTGGGTAGGCCTGTAATGCTATGAACTTCCCTCTCAGGATTGCTTTTGCTGTATCCTAGAGATTTAGGGTTATTGCATGACCATTTTCATCTGTTTCCAGGAAGTTCTTTTTTTCTTTCTTGATCTCATTGATAACGCATTCATTTAACATGCTATTTAGCCTCCATGTGTTTGAAGATTTTTGAGTGTTTTTCCTGTAGTTGATTACTAATTTCATTCCATTGTGATCTGAGAAGATACTTGATATGATTCAAATCTTCCTGAACTTGTAGAGACTTGATTTGTGTCCTAACATGGGGTCTATCTTTGAGAATGACCCATGTGCACTTGAGAAGAATGTATATTCTGCAGCTTTTGAGTGAAATGTTCTATAAATGTCAATTAAATCCACCTGTCAACCTTAATCCCTCAAAAGTGTTGTCGGCAGGGAAGGGGCTGTTCAGAGTTCAGGAAATGTGATTGGTGTATTTCCCTGTCCCCGAGCTACTCCTCTGCAATTGGCCCAAAATATCTGGATGCAATCCAGTGGGATCAGCTGGAACCCTGGAGTTTCTATCAGCTGTCCGTGCAGGGGACGTACCAGACTAGGCTGGTGCCCAGGATAGCGGGTGGATGGCCCCTTCCCCAATCCAGTCACTGATGCTCCCTGAGACTGTTGAAACCCTCAAACCCATAGGCTTGACCTCAGCTTCTGTTTTCTCTAAAAATGGACATTTAGGCTGTGGTAGGCACTGGCTCCTGAGGGTAGAGTGGGCTGTTACCACCTAGGGCGGGGTTTTGTTTCTCTGACCTGCCCTGAGGCTATGGGAGGGGTTAGTTCCTCTTTAGACAAAAGGCCATTTGGTTCGGGTGTATGTGACCAAGGACAGGACTCCAGGCTGCTGCTTTTGCGAGTCTCCCTGGAATGCTTCCCACCCCAGCCTCTCCTTAGGCACCTGAAGTCCGCACTCTCTCCTTGCACCAAAGCCTCAGGTAAGCAGCTGCCAATGAAAACTTCTGTGCTCTGGGTTTAGAAAAAAGAAAAAAACAACAACTAAACTGTAGCCTTCTCTCTGACCGGCTCCAGGCCCCACTGTGGCCAGCAGCCCTGTCGCCTTTCACGGTGGGATGTTACCTGGGAACTCCGGGCTCTGGGCTCTGGTACTCCAGGCTATGGAGCCCATCTGGGTCACGGCCTCTATCTTAGAGGGAACAGCCTCCCATAGCCAGGAGCTCCCTCCTCGCTCTCGACCTGCCCGCCTGATGCTCCTGGACGCTCGGTCATTTCCTCTCCTGACCTCGTCCTTCCTGTCGGTCTCCAGGTGTTTTCTGTCCTTTCTTGATATAAGTCCCCTCCTTCACTGGGACCTCAGTTGGTAACTATGGGTGCATGTTCCCCACTTTAGTTTTATTTCCAGTCTGGCCCTGGGAGGAGGTGGAAGAAATGTCTGCCTATTCGGCCACTATTTTCTCCTTCTCTCTGCCCGTTTATGAGCTATTTGGCTCTCCGCTCATCTACAAAGGGCACATTTCTCTCTGGAATTCAGTTCATCGTGGGTTTTTTGCATATACCACTCATTGCTCATTCCACAGATAAGTACGATTTTAATTTCAGTTTTCTTATTGTTACCATGGAATAGCAGAACTTTCATATCCTTCCACATCAGATCAAAATAAGTCTCAAAACCTAGTGTCTTCTTGATTGATGTGCAGTATAAGGCTGAAAGATAGAGATAAGACACTGGTCTAGGAATATGATAAAAACTAAAGGTCTTATCCAGGATAGGATATATCAAAAGTTGAACATCAAACAAATAATCGTTGGCTAACAAGAGTTCGTTCATAATAAGTGACCAAATTACTTCAGTGAAGCCAAATTTAACCACTATCCGACCTGATATGTTAGACTATGGACATTAGCCATTTTTCTGTCAAATCTGCAGGCCCTTAAATTTTTGGAAGTTAAAAGCAACCAAACCAAAATATGTAAGTATAAATTTTTGGATTGTATTTCTCTTAAAAAAAGGGAGAGAGAGACATTGGTCTAGGCTCAACAGGACTAAGATACCATTAGGGTTGCCGAAGGAGGAACGCATGAGGCCAAAAGGGGTAAAGAATTATAAATGTACTAGAGGCCTGATGCACAAAATTCGTGCAAGGGGCTGGGCCCTCGCCACCCCAGCTTCATCTGGGAGGTCGTTTGGAAAGATGTCCGGAATGTCGTTTGGCTGTCCGGTCTAATTAGCATATTATGCTTTTATTATTATAGATTATTACATCTGCTAGCAGAAGGGCTGAGACCAAAATGGCATCAGCAGGGCAGAGTAGGGGGAGCGGGATATTTATGTCACTTTTAAGGGTCAGTCAGAGTAATGGGTCAGACCAGGTGTAGGTGGGGGTGAGGTGTAGGTGATCCACTGAAAACTGGGTGAGGCAGTTTACTGGAAGCCAAAGGCCATTGTTCATGAAACCTACAAGGAGAATAACAGAAAATCGCCGGGAGGAGCAAGAGCCCCCTGCAAGGCATAATGTGCCTAACAGATACTGTCTAAGAATGTGCCTAACAGTTACCATCTAAGATTTCTTAAGGCATAGACGTGAGACCAAGCATGAGTTTCAGATAACAGGGGAAGAAAGAACATTCCTACAGAGAAAGAGGAAGGAAGAAAGAAATACAACGTTGAGTTTTCAGCAGCTCTTGCCAATTTTACATTCTTTCTTCTTTTCTCCTTCTCTATGAAACATGATGAATGTGTGTGTTTTCCATGTGTAGTAATCACATACTTTAGGAAGGCATACTAAAAATGTGAAAGTAATATGGTTTAATCTTATTAAATGAAATAATTAATTTTGGAAATTCCATTTTTATCTTCAGTCTTTCTTTGGTCCCCAAAAGCTGCCTGGTTCGCTATCCCTACATAAAGGTGCTCATTTGTGCTACACTGAACAATTATATATTTAGAGAACAATGAGCAGGATTATACAGTAAATGACCTCAGAGGCTCAAGTTGCCTAGAAATGAAGGACTCCTCTCAGTGGCAAAGGCTACACATAATCTTATTTCCCCGCAGGTCTCAGGAGCTGGATCCTCAGACTCCCCCCAACCAGCTGGGTTCCAGTTAAAATTGCTTAGCTTTGGGGCTCAGGTATTTATACTTATTATTTTAACTAGACAACCAAGAGGTCTGGGCTGCCTGCCAATACTTGAGACAATTAAGCAGAGACAGGGTTGAATCATATATGAGTGTTTATTCCAATCATGCCAACAGTACAGGAGAGCAGCAGGTCATCCACAAATATCTGCTCTGCAACTAACCACTGCTTATATTGGGTAAGACAAAAATTACATGGGAAGTAGGCAGTGCAGGCTGAAGGACATTGTTTGGGCAACAAGGTTAAGAAGGTTAAGGTTAACTCTTTCCATGATAATAGACAGTTCTTTTTTTTCAATATATTTTATTGATTTTTTTACAGAGAGGAAGGGAGAGGGATAGAGAGGTAGAAATATTGATGAGAGAGAAATATTGATCAGCTGCCTCCCACACACTCCCCACTGGGGATGTGCCCACAACCAAGGTACATGCCCTTGACTGGAATCGAACCTGGAACCCTTCAGTCCACAGGCCAACGCTCTAGCCACTGAGCCAAACCAGTCAGGGCAATAGGCAGATCTTGAATGAGACTGGACCGAATTCCAATATTGACTTCCAGGTCCAAGGTTGATTCCCAGGTCCCAGCAGTGTACAACTCCCAGACAGGTTAAAATGTCCTTTCTTTCATCAGAACAAGGCAATCACAGTTAACAGAGCATGATTAATATTTCTTATAACTATAGCTAGTCTCCAATATTCTTTTTTTGCCCCTAAAGTTATTTCCCCTGACACCCTACATACATACAAGACCCCTGTTATCTTCTAACAGGGAATGGTAAGCCTCGACTAAAGAATAGCCCTGTATTTCATTTATCTCACTCATAATATAATTATATTAATTATATGATATATATAACATAATTATATATCATATAAAATATATAATAACATAATAGAATATCATATTATATAAAACTAGAGGCCTGGTGCACGAAATTTGTGCACTTGGGGGGAGGGCGTTGTCCCTCAGCCTGGCCTGCACCCTCTCCAATCTGGGACCCCTTGGGGGATGTCCAACTGCCAGGATCAGGCCTAAACCGGCAGTTGAACATCCTTCTCACAGTCTGGGACTGCTGACTCCTAACTGCTTTTGCCTGCCAACCTGATCGCGCCCTAACCGCTCCCCTGCCGGCTTGATCAATGTCTAACTGCTTCCCTGCCGGCCCAATCGCCCCGAACTGCCCTCCCCTGCTGGCATTATTTTGGAAGAAAGAAATACAACGTTAAGTTTTCAGCAGCTCTTGGCAATTTTACATTCTTTCTTCTTTCTGCCCCCAACTGCCCTCCCCTGCAGGTCATCTTGTGGTGGCCACCTTGTGATGACGTCATGCATGACGCCACCTAGGCTTTGATTTTATTATATAGGATAATTTGGGAAATTATTAAATTTGTATAAAATATGTTTTATTAGTTACATATAATTGTATTATATATTAACATATAACTGTAATAATATAGTATTAGTTGCTACCATTTATTAAGCTCCTATCATGTGAACACATTCTTCCTACTCTCTATCCCCCACCTTTTGCCTAATAATGCTAACTGACTTTTCAGATCCATCTCAGCTTGGTTGTCAGTTCCTACAGAGAGCCTTCCCCACATTCTCCTAGCCCGGGCCCTCCCCGTTCTCCATAATTTTCTGTGAAAACACTGTTTAATTGCTGATCTCCCCAACAAGGGGAGAGATCAATTGCTTTGTTGGTCTTTATACTGCCAGCACCCAGAATAGTGCCTGACACATAGTAGGCATTCAATAAATATTTGTTAAATAAACAACGAATTAATGCTAGGCACTTTATGTGATAATATAGGAAAAAACAGCAAAGACCATTGTTTCCGAAATCGTTGTCACTTCCTTTCAGCTATAAATAGCAAGAAAATTCGAGTGAAACGCTGTCTGCTAGAAGAGTGCCTTTCTTTTCACAATCAGTGATCCTCTGAAGATGGCCCAGCACTATTTATGGATCTTGCTCCTTTGCCTACAAACCTGTAAGTTCTGACCCTTGTTGATCCCTTCCTAGTTTTCTATTACTTTTTTGTAGAAATTGCCCTGAAGGAAGACATGGAAATGCCCTTCTGATAGGTTTCAACACAGATACCCTTGGTCTATAAGGAAAACAACCAGTAAGAGTCAAACCTGTTTTTCAGCTTTAGAGTTTGAATTTTTGTTTGTGGTGGGTCTCCAAAGAGCTGAGACAAACCCTTCTGCTCAGGAGACTCAGCACTTGGTAGACCTGGCCAGAAAGCCCAGAAAAAGAAGAAATAATCCAAAATCTTGAATAACTTAAAAGCTATTTCTTTTGGGGTATTATAATGTATCATATGGCTTTTGACAGAGATATACTTTTCTCCATTATTTCATTGCTCTAGCAGATTGGAGTTCATGACCATAATTGTCACTGTAGAAACTTGATCTCTGGACGCTTGCTTCATTTTCAAAGCACATTCAGAGCTATTACTCAGCTTCTATCTTCCAAAAACTCCCTAAAATAAATGAGAAGTGGCTATTATTTCTATTTTACAAATACATTACTTTCAAAGAAATGAAGAACTGGAACTAAGAACATTACTTTCAAAAAATGAAGAACTGGCTTTAAAAACTGTTTTCCTTACTTATGCTCAACAGTAAATTATAAAGGACATATGCATACTGTTTGTTGTCGGTACAAAGAAAACTATGTAACATTAACCTAGCTCTGGGTGTGTCTTTTCATTGCATATATTATTTAATTAAATCCAAATAATTGCCTTTCTTATATAAAAATTGACTCTGTTTGCCATTTTAAATCTATTTCTATTGTCTCTTACCAGTTCTAAAAATGCATTATCAAATTCCTGACACGAATGCATGGGTTAGGATTTTCTGAAAAGGTAGACTAAATGCACCATGGTCTCTCTGGTTCCCTTGACCATTTAAAATTGGGGCTCCTTCCATTTGAGCTTCACGGAGATTGCACCCTAAATTTCTCCTGCTGCTGTTCCCGGCGAAGGTGGTCCCTTATGCTTACCATTGGACTGTGAATCAACTGCTTTCCTGGAACTCAGATTAGTGAAGCAGCTGAGAAGCAGTGGAAAAGGAAGTTAGAAATCCCCATTTTTCTCTTGAAATCACCGAAATAAGTCTGAGTGTGTGAACTCATGACTCTTCCATGTCGGAAAATTGTTCCCTCAGGGCCAAAACTCACAGGCTTATGTTCTGATCCTAACTTTCTCATCATGACTTGGGAATCCTGTGACTCTGACCATCCCTCCCAGTATCCTACCAGCCACCCACCCTCTGTGGTGGAAGACAGGAAGAGTCCATGTCCATTTCTCTCTACAAGTTTTTTTTCCCCCCATGGAATTTTAATTCTTCCTTTTCTCTACACCTTTCTTGTTTCAGTTTCTTAAACTCCTCCCCTTGCTCCCTTCTCCTGTCTCTCATCAATAATAGTAATTTCTGACTATTTATGGAGCAACCACTATGTGTCTGGCATTATGCTACATAGCCTACATTTATCATTTTATTTAATCCTCACAATACCCTATGAGATGAGTACTAGTAATATCTCAAGTTCACAGGTGAAAGCATTGGCCCAGAATTCTGGAGGTCATTTAGCCAAAAAGTGGAGAAAGTAGGATTTGACTTCCAATGTCTTTAGACTTAACCACTGAGCAATGCTGCCTTCATCCACTTTGATGCCGAAGTGGAATAAAATACTTGCCCTCCTATTAATTGTTACCACATTTCGGGATTTGTCAGTGAAGAGCAGTGACTTATTCCCAGCAAGACCGGATTATTTAGGGAGAGACTGGGCCTATTTCCACACCCACCTGTAGAGGAGGTTGGGATTGGTGGGCAGGCCTTTGCCAAGAGCCAGAGTTCAGGGAGGCCAGCAGAACAAAATATCCAAGGAAATGGCCATATTGAGACATGGTTCAAGCACCATTAACATCAATAGGATTTGGGTTGAGTTGAATTTGCTTCTTAAAAACAAACAAGGGTTCAGTATCAACAAGGTCTGTAAAGCATAGTCATGGGGCACCCAGCAGAGGTGAGTGGGCCCGTCTGGATACCTGCCCATGGATAACTAGGCCCCAACCATCATCCTGGGGCTTAAAGACAGGTTTTTTGTGCCTGAAGAAGAGTCCTGGCAAGAGCCATATGCCACTAGTCCAAAGTCCTTCAAAATAACGAGAAAGCCTCTGTTCTAGAAAGAGATTGGAGCAGACCACTATCTCAGACTCTCAGAAAGGGCTCAAAGGCCCACTTATAGAAATGGAAAAATATATATACTCGGCATGGGGAAAATGAAGTATCAGCTAAAATGCAGTTTCCAAAGAGAGGCTGGGAAGCTGCATCCTTGTGCTAACACAGGACTGCAGTGGGAGGGAGTAGAGGCCACTGCATCAGCCTGTTGGGCTGAAACAGCCCTGGTGATCAGTATGGTGGTGGACAAAGCAGCCAGAGTGCCTTCACACAGAAGCACAAAAGTCAGTCCCCAGCCATTCATAGGTTGAGCATTGACCCATGAACCAGGAGGCCATGGTTCAATTCCCAATCAGGGCACATGCCCGGGTTGCAGGCTCAATCCCCAGTGTGGGGCATGCAGGAGGCAGCCGATCAATGATTCTCTCTCATCATTGATGTTCCTATCTCTCTTTCTCTCCCTCTCCCTTCCTCTTTGAAATCAATCGAGATATATATATATATATATATATATATATATATATATATATATATATATAATATATATATATTAAGGTCAGTCCCAGTCTACTCAGGCTACTCAAGTATTTCCTCAGTCAAATATTTCTTTCTTTTTTGTTTATGGGTTTTTTTTGGTGAATCTTCGCTTAACAGTTGCCTGGGAGTATTATTTTAATCTCTGTAACAATGCTTTTTTTATTTTCTATAACAAACATACAGAGTGCCAGGGATTTTTGTAACAGGTTTATAAATATTAACTCATTCAACCTTCATAATACTTATGTGAGGTAAGTCCTTCTGTTAGCTCCATTTTAAAGTTGGTAAAAGTGAGGCACAGAGCCTGGCTGATGAGACTCAGTGGTTGAGTGTGGATCTATGGACCAAGAGCTTGCCAGTTCGATACCCGGGTTGCGTCCCCAGTGGAGGCATGCAGGAGGCAGCTGATCTATGTTTCTCTGCCACCGATGTTTCTATCTCTCTCTCCCTCTTCCTTCCTCTCTCTCTAAAAATAAATAAAAATGTATTTTTTTAAAAATGAGGCACAGAGAGGTTGCTAATTTTCACTTGTTGCTAGTACCTAATGGAACCAAGATTCAAACTCTGGGCTGTCTGGCTCTTTCTCACTAAGTCATAGTGCCTGACATGGGGGTAGACAGCGGGTGCTCCTCATGGCAAGACCCTTTTTGGAGCCTCTAGATCAGCGGTTCTCAACCTTCCTAACGCCGCGACCCTTTACTACAGTTCCTCATGTTGTGGTGACCCGAAACCATAAAATTACTTTCGTTGCTACTTCATAACTGTAATTTTGCAGCTGTTATGAATCGTCATGTAAATATCTGATATGCAGGATGTATTTTCACTGTTACAAATTGAACATAATGAAAGCCTAGTGATTCATCACAAAAACAATATGTAATTATATATGTGTTTTCCGGTGGTCTTAGGCGACCTCTGTGAAAGGGTTGTTCAACCCCCAAAGGGGTCGCGACCCACAGGTTGAGAACCACTGCTCTAGATTCTTCTCCCTTGGTATACACCAGCGATGGCGAACCTTTTGAGCTCGGCGTGTCAGCATTTTGAAAAACCCTAACTTAACTCTGGTGCCGTGCCACATATAGAAATTTTTTGACATTTGCAACCATAGAAAACAAAGACTTATATTTTTGATATTTATTTTATATATTTAAATGCCATTTAACAAAGAAAAATCAACCTAAGAAATGAGTTCGCGTGTCACCTCTGACATGCGTGTCATAGGTTCGCCATCACTGGTATACACACTTCATTTAATCTTGGTAACTCCTCAAGTGGCAGGGCATATATTTTTTACTTCATTTACCAATTAGAATCCTGAGGCTTAGCATGAAAGTGACTCACCCCTGTCACTTAGCTAGTCTGCAACAGAGCCTTAACTAGAACATGTTCCTGGATCCCTAGTTCAGGGCACTTTTACTCGCCACCCTGAGCAGCCCCAGCCTGTAGATCTATGCCAAGACAATTGTTTGCTAATGTCACGAGGATATTAGCGGGAAAAGAAGTTACAGTTAGCCAACTGCTCCTTCTTGTGTCTCAGTTTATACCCTGAGGCTTCCACACCAAGACACGGGACCGGTGAAGAGTTCTCTCTTGGCCTCACCCTTTCTCTGGCTCTGGGTTTCTCCACCTTGCTTTATGTTGCTGGAAAAGGGGTAATTGGGTCAGCAGCCTGAAAGTATCCATTCTCTCAACAAAAATGTGAGAGTCACCCACTAGGTGGTAGGGAAAGAGTGGTGACCAGAACAGACAAGGACTCTGCATTCATGGTGATTACACCCTCATGGAGCTGAGGTGCTGCGTAGTGAGTGATGGCTGCTCTGAAGAAAACTAAAGTAGGCGAGGCTATGGAGAGTGGTGGAGGGAACTGCTGCTTTAAGCCTGGGGATCAGGAAAGCTCTCTGACGAGGTGACCTTGGAGCAGAGTTGCATAGTGACAGAGTGCTGCCGTGTGTTGAGAAGAGGCAGTCAGGTCCTAACTGGTTTGGCTCAGTGGATAGAGCGTCGGCCTGCAGACTGAAGGGTCTCAGGTTCGATTCCGGTCAAGGGCATGTACCTTGGTTGCGGGCACATTCCCAGTAGGGGGTGTGCAGGAGGCAGCTGATCGATGTTTCTCTCTCATCAATGTTTCTGACTCTCTCTCTCTCTCCCTTCCTCTCTGTAAAAAATCAATAAAATATATTTAAAAAAAAAAAAAAGAAGAGGAAGTCAGCGAACATGCAGGCCTGTTTGAAGGAGGAAGCAGTGTGGTTAGAGTGAGGGAGGAAAAGAAGGGTAGGAGATGAGGAAGGAGGAGGAGCCAGAGCAAGTAGAGCTCAGGAGATAAAGGCAGCGTGTAACAGACTAGGGAGCCTCCTACACCCCCAATGTACATCACCCTTGTTTTTATTAGACTCTAAGGAGAACTATGAAGTTTTAGGTCTGTCCCCTCTTGCATTGTCATAAATATTTTATGTTTCGCACTCTCTTTGGATTCCATCCTCCACTTCTCTTGCTCGGCTCTGAAGAATTTCCCTCTAGCCAATTAAAGTCCTCCTACCCCATCAATATTTCCAACCAGAATAAGTTTCTGATTTTTTTAAAAAATATATACCTTTCTTTTTCTCATAATCTCTATTGCCTTCTTCCAGTCAGTGGTTTTTGGCAGCTACTTTATCATGAACTGCACATGTGTAGAGTCCACCTGTACACATGGATTCATTCAGGAAAACGGGAGTTGCCACCTAAAACACAGAAAGGTGTATTAGGCCGGGAAAGACGCCTACCTTTCCTCCCAGGAGGGGAAGGCCACCTCCATAAACAGCCTGTCTATAGTGCTCTCGGTCCCAGCTGGTTTCATCCTTCCCCTTGGGTTCCCTCTCACCATAGCTACCTAAGGGGCACAATGAATGTATTTTCCCATTTAAGCCCACACTCCAGGGTTGCAGCCTTTTCCTGCCTTTGCTTCTCCTTGGGAAGTCCTGCCTGTCTCCTACCTTCCCTTCTGCGGTCTGGCATATGACAGTGAGGAAACCATCCTCACTGGGAGATGTTATAGACGTGGCTCACCTCTCCCCTGGGCTCCCAAGGCTGCTCAACAATCTTTTCATCCCCTTAATAAATCTTGGGTAGAAGCCCAGTGTGTTCCCTATAGTGGCATTTTCTCAACATTTTGACATTCTTCAAAACAATAATACAACCACGATTAAAATGTACCAGGCATTGTGCTAAGTGCTTTATCTCCATAATTGTATCTAACAGTTATCCACATTGTAGAGGTAAGGAACCTGAGGATCAGACAATTTCAAAAAATTTTTCTCATGGTGACACAGCTAGGTTCAAACCTACCAAGATTCAAAACCTGTGCCCCTAAACTTTTTACTTTCTAGCTGGTCCTATCCTTGCCTCTTCACTCTTTTTTTAAAATATATTTTTATTGACTTTTTTACAGAGAGGAAGGGAGAGGGATGGAGAGAAACATCGATGA